TCTCTGATTACCCTGCAAAACCAAAGAGTCCTGCGGCACTTACTATCCACCCTACGGGAACACAGATTTGCCTACAAATGGCGATTTCCCTTCAGCTTGTCGGCCACCTATAGGGGCCGTACCCACATTCTTTTTCTGTACTGTACATTACACACTCTGGAGCTCTGCTCTCTCTATACACTGTACTGTACATTACACACTCTGGAGCTCTGCTCTCTCTATACACTGTACTGTACATTACATACTCTGGAGCTCTGCTCTCTCTATACACTGTACTGTACATTACACACTCTGGAGCTCTGCTCTCTCTATACACTGTACTGTACATTACATACTCTGGAACTCTGCTCTCTATACGCTGTACTGTACATTACACACTCTGGAGCTCTGCTCTCTATACGCTGTACTGTACATTACACACTCTGGAGCTCCGCTCTCTCTATACACTGTACTGTACATTACATACTCTGGGGCTCTGCGCTCTATACACTGTAAAATTACATACTTTGGAGGGAGCTGTGTTCTCTATACACTGTACTGTATATTACATACTCTGGCGCTCTGCTCTCTATACGCTGTACTGTACATTACATACTCTGGAGCTCCGCTCTCTCTATACACTGTACTGTACATTACACACTCTGGAGCTCTGCTCTCTATACGCTATACTGTACATTACATACTCTGGAGCTCCGCTCTCTCTATACGCTGTACTGTATAATACATACTCTGGAGCTCTGCACTCTATATGCTGTACTATACATTACATACTCTGGAGCTCAGCTCTCTATACCTGTACTGTACATTACACACTCTGGAGCTCTGCTCTCTCTATACACTGTACTGTACATTACACACTCTGGAGCTCTGCTCTCTATACGCTGTACTGTACATTACATACTCTGGAGCTCTGCGCTCTCTATACGCTGTACTGTACATTACATACTCTGGGCTCTGCACTCTCTGCACTCATATACACTATATGTACTGTACATTACATACTCTGGGAGCTCTGCACTCTATACGCTGCTGTACATTCTACTCTGGGGCTGTACTGTACATTACATACTCTGGGGCTCTGCATTACTCTATACACTGTACTGTACATTACATACTCTGGGGCTCTGCACTCTATACACTGTACTGTACATTACATACTCTGGGGCTCTGCTCTCTATAACACTGTACTGTACATTACATACTCTAGAGCTCTGCACTCTATACTGTACTGTACTGTACATTACATACTCTGGGGCTCTGCACTCTATACACTGTACTGTACATTACATACTCTGGGGCTCTGCACTCTATACACTGTACTGTACTGTACTGTACTCATTACATACTCTAGAGCTCTGCACTCTATACACTCTATACACTGTACTGTACATTTACTGGGGCTCTGCACTCTATACTGTACTGTACATTACACACTCTGGGGCTCTGCACTCTACATTACTGTACTCTTACATACTCTGGGGCTCTGCTCTCTATACTGGGGCTGTACACTGTACATTACATACTCTGGGGCTCTGCTCTCTATACACTGTACTGTACATTACACACTCTGGGGCTCTGCTCTCTATACACTGGACTACATTACATACTCTGGGGCTCTGCACTCTATACACTGTACTGTACATTACATACTCTGGGGCTCTGCACTCTATACACTGTACTGTACACTGGGGCTCTGCTCTCTATACACTTACATACTCTACTCTCTGCGCTGCACTCTATACACTGTATAATACATACTGTACATTACATACTCTGGAGCTCAGCTCTCTATACCTGTACTGTACATTACACACTGCTCTGCTCTCTCTATACACTGTACTGTACATTACATACTCTGGAGCTCTGCACTCTATACACTGTACTGTACATTACATACTCTGGAGCTCTGCTCTCTATACTGTACTGTACTGTACATTACATACTCTGGAGCTCTGCTCTCTATACACTGGGTACTCTAACTACTGTATGTACATACTCTGGAGCTCTGCACTCTACACTGTACATTACATACTCTGGGGCTCTGCACTCTATACGCTGTACTGTACATTACATACTGTCTGCACTTATACACTGTACTGTACATTACATACTCTGGGGCTCTGCTCTCTATAAACTGTACTGTACTACATACTCTAGAGCTCTGCTCTCTACATACTGGGGCTGTACTGTACATTACTGCTATACTGTTACATACTTCTGGAGCTCTGCTCTCTATACGCTGTACTGTACATTACATACTCTGGAGCTCTCGCTCTCTCTCTATACTGTACATTACATACTCTGTGCTCTCTATACGCTATACTGTACATTACATACTCTGGAGCTCCGCTCTCTCTATACACTGTACTGTACTACATTACATACTCTGGAGCTCTGCACTCTATACGCTGTACTGTACATTACATACTCTGGAGCGCTGCTCTCTCTATACGCTGTACTGTATAATACATACTCTGGAGCTCTGCACTCTATATGCTGTACTATACATTACATACTCTGGAGCTCAGCTCTCTATACCTGTACTGTACATTACACACTCTGGAGCTCTGCTCTCTCTATACACTGTACTGTACATTACACACTCTGGAGCTCTGCTCTCTATACGCTGTACTGTACATTACATACTCTGGAGCTCTGCGCTCTCTATACGCTGTACTGTACATTACATACTCTGGGGCTCTGCACTCTATAAACTGTACTGTACATTACATACTCTGGGGCTCTGCACTCTATACGCTGTACTGTACATTACATACTCTGGGGCTCTGCACTCTATACGCTGTACTGTACATTACATACTCTGGGGCTCTGCACTCTATACGCTGTACTGTACATTACATACTCTGGGGCTCTGCACTCTATAAACTGTACTGTACATTACATACTCTGGGGCTCTGCACTCTATAAACTGTACTGTACATTACATACTCTGAGGCTCTGCACTCTATACGCTGTACTGTACATTACACACTCTGGGGCCCTGCTCTCTATACACTGTACTGTATATTACATAATCTGGAGGGAGTTCTGTTCTTTATACACTGTACATTATATACTCTGAAGTGCTCAGTGTCGCAGAGATGACCCACACAAAGTGCAAAGCAGAATGTCAGCCCCTGGGATGAGTGCAAATAAATAAGTGGTGTCCTGAGTAATTCCCTACCTGCAGCCCTCACAGGAAGACAATATCTGCAATGTAGGATGAATGGAACGTAAGTTCCCTTTTAGAGTTCCCGAGGGAAGGGTTATAGCAGCTCACCCAAGTGTCACAAGTGCTTCGTGTGATTTTTTTGTCCAAGTCATATATTTTATATGGTCTACAACAAAATGGTGGCGCGGCCCTAACATTCTTGGGCGGGAGGAATAGCGGACGTTCGTGTCATTGTAATATGTCAGAGGGTTGTGATAGAACATTTTCAACTACTTTTTCCGTTAAAGCTCTAAAATAACATATTTAATTTAAAACGGACTGGTCACACAGCGAGGATACTGACGGGAAAAATGCCCTCACGTGACCGGTAGTAGTAGGACCCGGAAGTGTGAGGAGATATAGGGAGGTGGAGGGGGTGTGGCCGGAGATCTGTCCTATTGGGGCCGTCATATAGGAGGTAATGTACGCTGTGTGTGCTCTGTGTGATATTACAGGGAGCTATGAGAGGGGAGGCGGGGATAGGACGGACTACAGGTCACACATCTTGTATCATTCTCAGGTGTGTCCGTGCAGATACAGACACCGAGGGAATCCTGCACGGGAGAAGGGACGAGGCAGCCATTGTGCTCCTGCACTTGTAAATATACCAGTTCCCTGGCCGTCATGCTGATGCTGTGGCTTCAGTACTCTGAGTACCTGACCTGGAGCATGTATAGAGATAGGGAGCTGTGAGCTCAGCAGCCAGAGCTGGACAGGAAGTCTGGATTTTAGCAGGAAGTTGGTGACCGTGCCTCTGTTATTGTCAGGACAGGTTCTCTTGAAGTGGAACCAAACCCACTTACCAATCGACTTAAAGGTTTCGGAAAACAATTGCACTCCCATCCCATCATTCGCTGTCACATTTGCGTGTTCTTTCATCCAGACTGTCCAGCATCAAATGGCTGGACTCCTAACTGATCACATGTGCAGCACCATGGCAGTTGCAGATCACACAGAGGTGGAGATGGCAGCTTCCTTGGCTGAAAAGGATCAGAGGGTTTGGTTTGCTTTAAGCCCGGGTTCACACTGATACAGTGCAGTATTCGCAGCGGTTTCTGTGTGAATGCCGCATCAGAATCGCACCCCGTTCATGCAAACCGCTGCACGTGTGTATGTTAACAACACCCCGAAATCGGCCCGCAAACCGTGGTGCGATGTGCAGCATCGGATCGCATAGGTGTGAATACCCATGAGATCTGATTCTAGTGCGGACCAAAAAAGGCTCCTGCACGTTTTTGGTGCTGGTGCGGTGTGCTTGGAGCCATACAAAATATATGGTTCCAATTGCACCACACACAAATCGCATGTGATTTGCACAGGAATGAGGTGCAATTCCTGTGTGAATCACATGCGATATACCACACCGCATTAGTGTGAACCTAGCCTCAGGCCTCATGCACATAAGATGTTACTCCTAGATTGTAAGCTCCAAGGAGCAGGGCCCTCCTATCCCTCTTGTATTGAACTGTATTGTTGCTGTATTGTCTCCCGTTATATTGTAAAGCGCTGAGCAAACTGTTGGTGCTGTATAAATCATGAATAATAAAAACTCTCCTAGAAGCTGTCCTGGTAGCAGAAAAAAAAACACCTGACCCTTGTAAAAGTACACGCTTTTAGAAGCGTTTCAGGTGCGTTTAAAGGTGTCAAGCGCTTAGGCGTTAATTTAACCACCTTCCACCCGCCATTATAGTCCAATGACAGGCGCAAGGTGGTCTCTCTCGTTCTGGGAGGACGTCATATGACGTCCTCCCATTCTCAGCGCGCGGCAATCGCGCGGTTGCGATGCGTGTCCCTCGGACACAGCGGATCACCGATCTACGGAAAGAGACGAAGATGTCGACTTGGTCATGTGATCAGCTGTGTCCAATCACAGCTGATCACATGTAAACAGGGAAATGCTGGTTATCGGCATTTCTCTCCTCATGAGCTGTCACGCTGACAGCTCGAGAGGAGAGCCGGTAATCGGCATTCCGCGGAGGGGCCATGTACACTGATCATCAGGGCACTGATGATCAGTGTGCCCTGATGATCAGTGTGTGGCCCCAGAAGTGCCAGCTGCCAGTGCTGATCAATGCCACATATCAGTGCCAGTGCACATCAATGCCACATATCAGTGCCCATCTGAGCTGCCTTTCAGTGTCACCCTGTCAGTGCCACCTATCAATGCCAATCAGTGCCATATATCAGTGCCCCTTTCAGTGATGCCCATCAGTGATGCCTGTCAGTGCCTCCTCATCAGCCTCATCAGTGCACTATCAGTGAAGGAGAAAAATCACTTATTTACAACATTTTACAACAAAAACTAAGAAAAAACATTTTTTTTTTCAAAATTTTCAGCGGTTTTTGGTTTGTTAAAGAAAAAAGAAAAAACCCAGAGGTGATTAAATACCACCAAAATAAAGCTATATCTGTCACAAAAAAATGATAAAAATTTCATATGGGTACAGTGTTGTATGACCGCGCAATTGTTATTCAAAGTATGACAGCGCTGAGAGCTGGAAATTGGCCTGGGCTGGAAGGGGGTATAAGTGCCCTGTAGGCAAGCGGTTAAATAGCCAGAATGATAATTTATTATGACCAATGAAATTAATCAACGCTCAAGCTCTAAAAATGCGTCAATTGAATTTTTCTGTAAAAAAAAAAAAAAACGAATGAAGCTGTCCTGGACGCACTGCCCTGGGTTTTTTAGTCCTGCTGGTTAAACGTTTACTGCTACGAAAAGTCTGTGTGCTGGACACATAGAATGATTTTCTAGAGGGCCGTTTGGAAGCAATTAAAAAAAAAAACTGCCTGAGCCCCTTTTTACTGCTTTTTTTTTTTACCCTTTTGGTATAAACATTTTACATAAATAATTTTTTACCCTTTTGGTATAAACATTTACACTTTAGATTATAAAAAAAAGCTGATCATTGTAAGCATCCCTGTCAATGGTAGATGGTTTGTGAAAACCTTCTAACCACCACTTTTGCTGGACAGCTTGGTCTGTTAAAGAGGTGGTAAACCCATCTAATTAATGGTTTCCCAAGCTAGTTATACTCAAGGCATTTTGTAAATGACTACTGTCACAGTTGCTTGTGCTCTTTGTAATCCATCAAATTGCTGATGTCATAGCTGACCACATGTGCAGCACCATGACAACTGCAGATCAAACAGGCCTACGTTGGCAGATTCCTTAGTTTCAAAGGATAGGAGGATTTAGTTCCACTTTAAAGAATTTGAAAAACAGCATGCTTGTGGCAGGATCACTAGGAGAAAGTCAAAAGAATATACCTTCCAAAAAAAAAAAACTTGAATGAAGCCGTCACTTCTAAGAATTAATGAGATTCGGTATGTTAGGGTTAGGTGTTTTAAATGATTTAAAGTCTAACTAAACTCAGAATTTTTTTCTTAGTTTTGGGTAGTAGAGAGGGATTAGAAGAGCTTTTTATTGCTCCGGTTTTTTAGCTCCCATTAGGGGGAATTATTCTATTTGTCTTGTTTACTGTTATCATTAAGAATGAAAGTGAAAGAAAATCCCAAATTTTGGGTTATCGCCACAACAGGAATATAGGGGAAATCATCCAACGTGGAAATTAATTCTGGTGATAAGCAGGGATCTTCTCCAGTTCCCTCAAAATTTGAAAACAGCCCACATTCCCTCATTTTGGAAGAATTTCTTCTCGCTTCCTGTTTTGGTAATGGGACAGGAGGATAAGGGAAATCTCCCCAATGGGCAAAAAAATGGAAAGAAAAAACTGACAAATTATAGCCTTCCCTTACTCTATTTTTCATTCAGCCAGTGAGAGATCCCTCCATTACAAAAGCATTTCTTCCATTCACTTTACCCTTGAAGTGGAGTGGGAGTCCACTGCCAGTTTTGTATGCCCGAATCTAGGCTTTAAACTATTTACTGTGCTGCACATTTTCTTATTAACTTTATTCTCCTTTTTAACTTTCTTGTGTTCCAGTCTGGTGATTTAGCTGCTCAGATGTGCACTTCTCACATTGTGCTATATACCCAGAAGGACCAGGTATTTACTGAGATTCTTATGGAAAAGCAGAAGAGCTTCAGGGTAGTGTGGTTAAAAATGAGTTCACCTTTTCTAAACATACTTACATGTTCCAGCATCCGCCCCTTCATCTTCCAATCCCCACTCCCTGTACAGCGAGCAAGGGATTTCTCCCAGTACCTTGCAAAGATCTGCGTCTGTCTTGTGGTGTCTTTGGTGATTCATGTTACTTAAACATTCACCATGTATTAATAAGTGATAATCTGCAGTAATATATGACTTATTTTTGTTTCCTTTTAAACTGAGTCATGTTTTACAATTTTATTGTGCTTATGCATTTTATTTCTTTTAAAGGTTGTTTGAAATGGCTGCCTCATCGTCCTCTTCATCAGCTGGTGGAGTGAGCGGAAGTTCTGTCACTGGGTCCGGATTTAGTGTTTCAGACCTGGCACCCCCACGAAAAGCACTCTTCACTTGCCCTAAAGCGGCTGGAGACATGCTAGAAGGTAATCAATTGTTTGCTTTTAGCAGGGGTAAAATTAAAGTGGTTGTAAAGGCTCAAGGTGTTTTACTTTCATGCATTCTATGCATGAAGGTAAAAAACCTGTGTGCAGCAGTGCCCCCAGCCCCCCTCAATACTTACCTGAGCCTCATTGCGATGCAAACAACAGCCTCGGCTATCCCGGGTCTCTGCCTTCTCATTGGCTGAGACAGAAAGCGGGAGCCATTGCCTCCCACTGTTGTCAGTCCCAGCCAGTAATCCAATGAGTAGAGAGAGGGGCGGGACCAAGTCGCGGCTTCGTGTGTGTGTTTAGACACACGAAGCAGCGGGTGCCCCCATAGCAAACTGCTTGGAGGGAAGGGAGGGGCCAGGAGAGCCTGTGGGGGAACCCGAGAAAAGGAGGATCTAGGCTGCTCTTTGCAAAACCACTGCACATAGCAGGTAAATATAACATTTTTGTATTTAATAATTAAAAAAAAAATTTACCTTTAGAACCGCTTTAAAAAAAATATATATATTTAAAAAAATGTGTGTGTGTGTGTGTGTATATATATATATAATACATACACACACAAGCATATGTAAGGTAAATAAAACTGAGTGTTTGTTTAACCACTAGCCTACAGGCACTTATACCCCCTTCCTGCCCAGGCCATTTTCAGCTTTCAGCACTGTTTCACTTTGAAAGGACAATTGCGTGTCATGCAGCACTGTACCCATATGAAATTTTTATAATTTTTTATGTGACAGAGCTTTATTTTGGTGGTATTTAATCACCTCTGGGTTTTTTATTTTTTCTTAAACAAACCAAAAACCACTGAAAATTTTGAAAAAAAAAAGTTTTTTTCTTTGTTTTTGTATAAAATTTTGTAAATAATTGATTTTTCTCTTCACTGATGTGCGCTAATGAGGCTGCAGTGATGGGCACTGATAGGCTGCACTGATGGACACTGATAGGTGGCACTGATGAGGGTACTGGTGATGACAGATGGGCACTGGTAGGCATGGCACTGAAAGGCAGCACTCATATGGCAGTGATAGGCGGCACTGACAGTGATAGGCGGCACTGACGGGCAGCACTGATAGGTGGCACTGATGGGTGACACTGAAAGGCAGCTCAGATGGGCACTGATATGTAGCATTGATGTGCACTGGTAGGCACTGAAATGTGGCAATGATGGGCACTGACAGGTGGCATGGGAGCACTGACAGCTGGCACTGATGGACACTGACAGGTGGCACTGCTGGGACTACACAGATCAGGGCACACTGATCATCAGTGCTCCTGATGATCATCTTACATGTCCCCTCTGAGGGATGCCGATTACCGGCTCTCTCTCCTCGAGCTGTCAGCTTGACAGCTCATGAGGAGAGAAATGCTGATAACCGGCATTTCCCTATTTACATGCGATCAGCTGTGATTGGACACAGCTGATCACATGACCGAGCCGACATCTTCAGCTCTTTCCGTTGATCGGTGATCCGTTGTGTCCAAAGGACACAGTGCACCGCGAATCGCCGTGCTGCGCACTCACGGAGCCGCGCATACACAGAATGGGAGGATGTCATATGACGTCCTCTCAGAACGAGAGAACCGCCTTGCGCCCGTCATTGTACTATATGGCGGGCGGGAGGCGGTTAAGCACTTTGATGGACTTGACATTGAGGAAACGTCCTTGGCAGTCAAAGGGTTCATTTATTTTTTTTTTTTTTTAAGTCCTGCTAGGAAAAGGCACAATAGAATGCATGCTATTTTTTATTACCCCATTCCCCCTTCCTCGTGTACCTGCAGCCTGACTTCACAGGGAAGTCCCACCAACTACCATTCCATTGGAGAATGGCGGTGATGGTGCTCAGCAATGGGATCAGGGAAAATCAGGCCCCAGTGGCAGTGTGAAACAAAGGAGCTAAACATATAGCTTACAATAAATGCTGCTATCTGCTGCACGCCACAGTGTCCATTCTACACTACTCCTGCAGTTTAGCAGTCTGTCATGAAATAGAAGTATGAACCACAAAATAGGGCCTTACAGCAACCAAATGTAAATGTAGCATCTTGTGGTACTAATCCTTAGACCCCCAAGTCTGTGTATAGTCGACATGAGATGCCTTTTTGAATTCAGTTAAATTAATCTCTATCCAATTAAAGAAAAACACAGGCCCATCAGTCCCTATTGTATTTGTGCTTGGGTGCCATTTGTAATGAATGTTTTCGCATGATCTACAGATGGGTGTGCGCTACCTCCTGGTAAAATTCAATGTGTGTGAAGCCAGGTTAATCTGACTAATCTTGAATCCAATGGATGAAAATCAAGTCTATGAATCATGTCAGCTGATCCCTGACATGCTGTCAAATCAATCACTGTGTCAGTGTGGAGCCTCTCAGATCTTAAAAAATTAGACCCTATTAAGAAATGTTAAATACATATGATGTACCCTTTCACTAGCAATAACACAGCATTTTTTTTTGGGGGGGGGGGCTTCCCACTGTAACATAGATTTATTAACTTTTGATCCTGTCATAGGCGCCATTGATTTTCCATTTCTTTTAACGGTGACACTGCTGCTGTCCACTTTTAGACAGCATAGTTTTAAATGAACTTTAAGTAAGGCCAGCTGCAGTTCACTGTATTTAAGCAGTTTCATAAATGTTTATTTTGTGGTTTTCTTTTGGGGGCGAAGGGGGGGGGGTTAAGAATAATTGTTAAACCTTACAGTTTTAAGAAGACTTTTGTAAGTGCCCTTGTCTGTAAGAGCCTATTAATACCAATCATGTTGCAGTAAAGCTCAGTAAAAACGCTCTGTAGTTCAAGGTGAGATAATGCCTGTTGCATGCACTAGTGCGCTGAATGGCACCCAATGCACCTCCAAAACACTTGTTGCTATAAAATGCAGTCAGTATGTATTTTTTTTTATGTGGGTCTTTATTGTGTGTCAGAACTGGGCTGCTATGCCTGAAATATGTAAAATCCTGTGAAATAAAATTCATATACTAACATTATGAGCCCCAGTTACAGTTACAATAATATTTTTTTACTATAGTGGGCCCTAATGTAGAGAGGCAAACAGTGGTCCCACGAACACCAGCTTTAAAAGCAAATCAAATACCGTCTCCTTTTCAGTGCTGCTGAGTTGCTTTGACTTGGTTCAAGTTTTTTTTTTTTTCTGCTTTTAAGTTAAACTGCTCAAGGAGTTTCTTCACGCTGTTTTTGCACTCACAAATGTGACTTGTATGTAGAAGAAATGCAGGTCAGACAGAAACATTATTTATAGTCAGATGCTAGTGTCTGAAGGCTGGCCATACACCTGTCTTTTTAGGATTCCCACACCAATGTAATGCAAAGATCTACCTGAATATTCCATTTAAGTTAAATCAAATAGTTGGTAGAAAGGAAAGGGATTGTACAATCAGGTTGTAATGTGAGGCCAGAAGATCGGGGATCGTTTTGGAGACTTACATTCATCACAGATTGCCTGCACCTCACTACTTTTGCTTTTGTTGATTTGAATGGGCAAAGCACAGATGGTAAGTATAGCCTTTTTTTTTATATAGAGTAGGAGGGTTTAGAATCCCTGTTGAGATTTTACTGCTTTTTTTTTTTTTTGGGGGGGTATATACAGTAGGGGGCGGCACAGTGGCTTAGTGGTTAGCACTTCTGCCGTGCAGTAATTGGGTCATGGGTTTGATTCCCGACCATGTCACCTCCTGCATGGAGTTTGCATGTTCCACCTGTGTTCGTGTGGGTTTCCCCAGGTGCTCCAGTTTCCTCCCCACACTCCAAAGACATGCTGGTAGGTTAATTGGCTTCTGTATAAATTGTCCTAGTTTCATCCCTGGCCATGCGGGATCTCCTGCATGATAGGGTTGGGGAAAGACCTGGCAACCTACCCTGTAAAATAATTGCTAAGAGAATTCATGGAAAAAGTCGCTTGCAAGTGACGGTCCATGCAATCGCCAAGGGTCAAATACGACTGAATGGATAGATAGATATACAGTAGGGGGTTTAGAATCCCTGTTGAGATTTTACTGCTCTTTTTTTTCCTACTGGGTATATACAGTCCTCTTAAATTTGTCTTGGTGACCTCTGTCAAAGTGACAGAAAGTGATTGGAAATCCAATAGTTGTCACAGTAACAGGAGAGGAGGGTCGATCTTTTTAGAAGGACCGTTAATCTGGTGACAGTTGTTCAGGGGGGAATTTATAGCTTTGGAGAGACTTCTTTAACTTCTTGTCATGTAAATGGCAGGAAATGAAGGGAAGTCTCCCCAGTGGTTCACAGGCAGCAAAAAAAGAAAGTGACGTGTGTTGTAATCTTTCTGTAGTTTTCAGTATCTCACAGAAGTGAGTCCACCCCTCACATTTTTGTAATATTTTATTCTATCTTTTCATGTGACAACACTGAAGAAATGACACTTTGCTACAATGTGACGTAGTGAGTGTACAGCTTGTATAACAGTGTAAATTTGCTGTCCCCTCAAAATAACTCAACACAGCCAATAATGTGTCTAAACCGCTGGCAACATAAGGGAGTACACCCCTTAGTGAAAATGTCCAAATTGGGCCCAAAGTGTCAATATTTTGTGTGGCCACCATTATTTTCCAGCACTGCCTTAACCCTCTTGGGCATGGAGTTCACCAGAGCTTCACAGGTTGCCACTGGAGTCCTCTTCCACTCCTCCATGATGACATCACAGAGCTGGTGGATGTTAGAGACCTTGCGCTCCTCTACCTTCCGTTTGAGGATGCCCCACAGATGTTCAATAGGGTTTAGGTCTGGAGACATGCTTGGCCAGTCCATCACCTTTACCCTCAGCTTCTTTCGCAAGGCAATGGTCAACTTGGAGGTGTGTTTGGGGTCGTTATCATGTTGGAATACTGCCCTGTGGCCCAGTCTCCGAAATGAGGGGATCATACTCTGCTTCAGTATGTCACAGTACATGTTGTCATTCATGGTTCCCTCAATGAACTGTAGCTCCCCAGTGCCGGGAGCACTCTTGCAGCCCCAGACCATGACACTCCCACCACCATGCTTGATTGTAGGCAAGACACACTTGTCTTTGTACTCCTCACCTGGTTGCCGCCACACACGCTTGACACCATCTGAACCAAATCAGTTTATCTTGGTCTCATCAGACCACAGGACATAGTTCCAGTAATCCATGTCTTTAGTCTGCTTGTCTTCAGCAAACTGCGGGCTTTTCTTGTGCATCATCTTTAGAAGAGGCTTCCTTGTGGGATGACAGCCATGCAGACTAATTTGATGAAGAGTGCGGCTTATGGTCTGAGCACTGACAGGCTGACCCCCCCCCCCCCCCACCCCTTCAACCTCTGCAGCAATGCTGGCAGCACTCATACGTCTATTTCCCAAAGACAACCTCTGAATATGATGCTGAGCATGTGCAGTCAACTTCTTTGGTCGACCATGGTGAGGCCTGTTCTGAGTGGAACCTGTTCTGGTAAACTGCTGTATGATCTTGGCCACCATGCTAAAGCTCAGTTTCAGGGTCTTGGCAATCTTCTTATAGCCTAGGCCATCTTTATGTAGAGCAACAATTCTTTTTTTCAGATCCTCAGAAAGTTCTTTGCCATGAGGTGCCATGTTGAACTTCCAGTGACCAGTACGAGAGAGTTAGAGCGATAACACCAAATTTAACACACCTGCTCCCCATTCACACCTGAGACCTTGTAACACTAATGAGTCACATGACATCGGGGAGAGAAAATGGCTAATTGGGCCCAATTTGGACATTTTCACTTAGGGGTGGACTCACTTTTGTTGCCAGCGGTTTAGACATTAATGGCTGTGTGTTGAGTTATTTTGAGGGGAAAGCAAATTTACACTGTTATACAAGCTGTACACTCACTTGCAACAAGAACAACTGAATACTTATCACAGATAGAACTCAATTGTGCTAATTTATCCAAAACTATTATATTAGTTATTAGAACTATTAGAATATTTGTGCCAATATGTGGAAGCTGTGTAGTGAATTTTGGCTGGACTGGTTGAACATGATTGTATTTGTTAGATGTAATTGTTTGTTGTGTTGACTTGTAAACTATAAGCTCAACATGCCCTCTAAAATAATATGTATGAATTGTCATTTTAGAAGGCATTTAACCAGCTCATGGTAAGCACGTCTCCTGCAACACCACTAAGGTAACAGCAGAGGGCGCCACTCTCCTTAGAAATCCAACACAAAGCAATCAGAAAAACACACAAGCATCTTTTTTCTCTCTGCAGATAAGTGAACCTCTGAGAATAAAAGGGATCTATCTGCCTTTGCTCACTTCTTTTTAATAGTACTGATCATCCTGCATATTTTTTTCATATCGGTAACTTCCTTTTTAGTAAATCCAGGATTAGAATTGCAGCCCTAAAGCCTGCACCTTTTAAAACAAGTTGAGAATGTTTTCTGCTGTATTTTTTCTTTTCTTGCAAAGCCCCCTTACATTTGCAATACACTCAGCTGTTTCCACTGAATTTCTTTTTTCTGTTCGTTTTCCAAAAGTATTGGTATGTGTGTTTTATTTATTACTTTTGAATACCTGTGTAGTTTAAAAAAAAAAAAAAAAACCTTTAGGCTTTGTTCACACGGGCAGTCTAGGGATGGTAGTATTATTATTATAGAGTATTTATATAGCGCCAAAGGGTTTGCTCAGTACAGGACAATACAGTAGCAAAACAATACACAATACAGGAGGGTTAGAGGGCCCTTCCCTTTTGAGCTTACAGTCTAGGAGGGAGGGGATGGTGATATAGGAGGAGATGGCTGTGGGGGATGGAGTGAGGAGTGGAGGGGTATCATAGGTTTTACCACCCCCCTAACCACCAACATAAAGGAGAACATGCATCCACTCAGGGCTATACACATGCCATGATTACTATACTTTGCAGCTGTTCATTTGGTGGGCAGTACCGCCGCCAAACGTGACCCATGCAAGTGAATGGGACTGTGCTGCAGCTGCATGTAATGCACACAGTTGCAGTGCAGCGAAGGCTTTTTAGGGTTCAAACAAGCAGTGAGGAGGTGACATATTGCATCTCAGGCGCTACTGAGTAGAGAAAAAAAAGAGATTATGTGGTCAAGTGTTACAGGAATTTAAACGGGGCCTTTAGTTAAAGCTATGGATTTAAAAAGTTTGGCAATTGTATTATTTCCTTTGACTGTAAGGAGCTTTGTAATTGGAAGAGGAGATCGTAATGTTCATTTAGGCCTCCTCTATTCACAGAATACCTTGCATTCGGTGAAAAAAGTGCAAGGCATTTTATGAATTAGGGCGCTACTGTGAGTGTGATCTCCTGAAATCATTTTTTTTTACCTTAATGCATTCCCTGCATTAGGATACAAAAAACTTTCACTAGCTGTTTCTTCGCCTCCCCCCTTCCTCCTTCTAAATACGTACCTGAGTTCTCTCTCGATCCAGCGCTGTGCCCATCTGCTGCAGTGCTGGTCTCTCTCCCTGCCCTCGCAGGACAGGCTGAGCCATTGGCTGCTTCTGCTGCTGCTGTTAATCAAATTTTGTGAGGAGGAAGCAGGATGTGTGACCGAGCCATGCTGTGTGTGTCTATGGATGCACACAGCCCAGACCTGGAGCACACTTGCTATGCTATGGGGACACACTTAGGAGAGGAAGAGCGGACAGTGCTGGCGGAGGACCCCATAAAAAAGAGGTAAGGGACTCTCAGTGCAACATCTTTTTTTAATTTTAGGTTAAAAAAAAGGGGATATCCTTTTAATATCACTTTTAAAATCCTGCCAAGATCGAACTGCTTTATAATGTTTAGTAGGGGGCTGGGGAACTGTGTTTGCCACAATCATCCCTGTCTGTACTGTACAGGTAGATTGCATTGTCATTTGTAAACTAGTCAGCATGGTCTTTCCTAACAAAGGGTTAAAGATTTAGAACTATTGTATGTTACTAAGAGATAGCTCAGTAAGTGCCCAGTCTGTGTGGGAACAAAGACCTTGTCAGAAACATCTAAATGGTAAGAAATATTTTTTAAACAGTTCTAGGTAGACGAGTAAATGAGAACACAACAAACATATAGTAGTTTTTTTTTCTTAAATGTAAATGCAAATGTGGAATTACAGTTCAGCTCCATTATTTATCCATCATCGAAATAGTTATTTATCTGTTGTTCCTCCTTTCAGACAATATTGTATTGCACCTTTTCCTTTTCTTTTTTTTTTTTTTATAATTTTGCAGATTTACATTCTGTATCCCTGTGTACAAACGTGCTAAAATAGATCTGTGTCAGTTTTAGGTTTTTGCCAAGTTTTTGGCACAGTCACAGTGCTAAAAATAGTTGTATCTAAATTTAGAATATATACTTAAAGTGGAACTTTAGTCAGAAAATTAAGTCTTGCTAGACAACTTCAGACTGGTCCCTTTTGCGGGTATAAAACGTGAAAGATAACTGCCTATACTGTTTAAACTCCAGTAATACAGTCTCTCACCCTGCTCTGCACATGCTCAGTTGCTCTCCGTTTTTAGGCACTGTGCCAAATTTGTATAGGCCAATCTGCCGACAGCCTAAAGATTTACTGCTGCTCAGGGGCTCTAGGCTTCACAAAATTGCAGCCTCCAGCAAGAAGAAACAGAAACAATGCTGGAGGTAATTTACAGTATACATTAATTTTGGTATCATAATGATTCATTTGGAATGTATGTTTATTGCTAAAAAAAAAAAAAACATTATTTTTTACCAAGTTGTTATGGGTTAAGCTTCACTTTAACTGTCCTGAGCATGAATAGGTAAATTACTAATGAACACACCTTCCTGTTTCCCCTCACACCTTCCTGAGCAGTATTATTTTATTACTTTTAATGCCCCATTGTTCAAGTACTCATATAACATGCTTCTTAGATATAATATCCTGTGTGCCTGCTGTGCTGACAAGGTATCGTTCCAGGCGAGGGGTGCTGATATTCTTGGACTTTAGAAGATCTCATTCCTGAGAAGACGTTTTGCACATCTGGCAGGCTTGGGCTTCCAAAATTGGTTTCCAGAAAGCCACAGGTTTCCTTTGCTTCACACAAAAGTTTTTCTTGTAGAACCTTGCATTCTTTTGTAGTAAATGTTTTTGGTAGAGAAGTTTATAGTTCTTCATCATTTATTGATTCAAATCCTAATCCAGGCAACTCATTTTGTCTCCAAGTGTAGTCAAACCTCTACCCATATTTTTGTAAGTGGAATAGTAAAATAATATCTTGTGTGGTTTGATTTTGCTCGTGTAGGCTGTTGGTAAGTTCTTTGTGCCCACTGGGACATTTTACTTACCTTCATGTTGTTTACTTGCACCTGTGTTTAGTATTGTTCCTGTACAAATGTTCAGTTATCGACTATAAATGTCTACAAAGTACTGTGACTAAATAGCATGTCTAGCAGAAAAAGCTGGACCTTTTTGTATTGAAAACCGTGGATATTGGATCATATTTCTGAACTAACACACACTGGAACTTCTTGTTAGGAAGGGATATTGCTCTTGTTTTTTATGACTGTGCTGTTTTTCTTTGCAGATGGCTCAGAAAGATTCCTGTGCGAGTCCGTATTCAGCTATCAAGTTGCATCAACTTTAAAGCAGGTGAAGCATGGTAAGTAGATAAATAGACACAGATTTCTGCTCTGGAGCATGCCTTTTAAATAGGTTTAATTGAAAGGACATGTCAACAGAATCGGAGTGCCAGGCTGTAAAGCATGATTAATGCATGTATACTGTATAACAGGATTAAAGGCAACCTATGCAGGAGCATTTTAAAGAAATAAGATGGTCATCTCCCAGGGCTGACCTGGATTGAGTGTTTATCAAGAAACTTACAAGTAAGACTGAGATGGGAAGATATCTCCCCAAGAATGACATGAGGAGAGAGATCTTCCTGTTCTCACAGGTGTCAGTGCCCCACTATACATGCATAGTACTTGTGCTTTTGTATTCCATGTTTTAAATAAAATAACCTAAGGAATCTTATAGTTTGGTAATGAGTGTCTACCAACAGTCTGAGGTGTCCTTAATTACGCTCTTGCTTTTGCCAAATGGACCATGTAATGTTGATAGAAAATTATTTTGTGATCGTCTTGAAGAGAAAAATTCTCAGGGACCTGCCATGTCAGGTGGCCCCCCATGTCAGAGGCCATCTTTAAAGTGTCTAAAGCAGCGGTGAGGGTACAGTACCACTGTCAGGTTCTTTTTCTATCTCTGTCCACATTACATTAGTGAAACATACTATCTCGGTTTGTCCTGGTGGCCACCACATGGACTGAAGGTGGGGGGTATATCAACTGTCTAGTGATTTCCCTCACTTTAAAAATTTTCTCTCACTTCCTTTTGTCAAGAAGTGAAGGAAAATCTCCCTAATGGGACACTTTTCTACCTAGAATGAAAAAACATGGTTTAGTTTATATTTAGGAGATCATAACCAAAACATATAGGTGGCCACTTACTCAACCCACAATTCTACATGAACTTTGATACTGCTTCACAAATTTCTAAAAATGTTAATTCACTACACTGCAATTTGTCTATATTTTATTTTGGCCTTAAAGCATATGTAAACACAAGAAGAAAATGTAATATTTCTCAGTTCCTAAATGTGGTGGCTGGTTTTTTTTTTTTTTCACCTAGTGATCCTGCCAGTAATACACTTCCTGTTTGCCAGAGTTCACTTGCTGTACTCCTCTGTGCACTCCAGTGTCAGGTTGGCTTATCCTTATTCATCGTCTCTAGTCCACGTTATCTCTACATTTTGCTTTTAGTTTAAAAGGCCACTTAGGAAATGACTGCATCCCTGCTGTGATTTCTTTTTTTCTTAAGGGCGGTACAATTTCACACTCCCACCCCTGAGAGGTTTAATTAAATGGGCAGAACGTAGATCTTGTCTTTTTAGCAGAGGCTTGTAAAGCTTTCTTCTTTAATACCCGGGGCAAAAAGATCTGAAGAACATGAGCCACAAATCTTGTTCCTACATTTAGTATGTCAGAATTTACTTTGCTTTAAATGTAAGCTTTTGCTTTTTGTTACTAGATTTCCTATTTTCAAAAAAAAAAACTTTGTGTCTTTTTTTTTTTTTTTCCCTGCTTTTAATTATTTTGTTCCTGTAATTCCTGAAGTCTGACTGTACTTTCTTTTCTTGCATTACCCCACCGGATCTTATAGATAAAAAAAAAAACTGTCTATGTGTTAACCAGAGGTATCTTGCTCACTGTCAGAGATGAACATAACTAGCTTGTTTGTGGTTTAGAAACTAGTTTAGCATGTTTCCCAAAAGTTTAAAGTCAAACAAAAACCACAAAAATAGACTTGCAGCTTTTCCTTTAATAGGAAACTATGGTCCTTTAAAGTTTATTTTAAAGCAAGACTAGTATGTCTTTACTTTGAATCGGGCATGAATGCAGTTCACTTCAGGTAAGTCTGAAAGGGGAGTTCTGCCCAACCCCCCCCCCCCCCCCCCCCCCCCCCCCCCCCCCCCCCCCCCCCACCACCACCACCAAAAAAATTAAGTCAGCAGCTACAAATACTGTAGCTGCTGACTTTTAATATTACGGCACTTACCTGTTCAGGGACCCAGCAGTGTCCTCACCCTGAGCCGATTTTTCAGTCAGTTGTCGGGTACTGGCGCTGCCATGTTTACTAAAGGAAATTGGCAGTGAAGCCTTGTGGCTTCTCGATGGTTTCACACTGCACCTGTGCGAAGCACGCTATGCTTTGTGAATGGGCTGCAATCCTCTTGCGCTTTGGAAGTGTCCCAGAGAGCTGCAGGAGGGAAGCAAGGTACCCCTCCCCCCAAAAGGTGCCAAATGTGGTAGTGGAGAGGGGGGAAGGCAGAAAAGTAGAGCTTCCACTTTTGGGTGGAACTCATCTTAAAGTAAGTACTTGTGCAGCAAGTACAGAAGTGGGAGCCCATGTATAAGCCCCCCTTTACACCTGAGTGTTTTTCTGCTCGTTTCCCCATGCCTGACTACACAGTATCCCATTTTTTTTTCTCATTTTCACAGTTCACGGGTATTCTTTTTTGCTCAGTTGCCCTAAAATACTTGTGTAATACTTCTGAAAAAATGCTTCAGAATAACCAGAAATACGCTGTGCTCAGATGTCAGTGCCGGCTAAGTGTAACTGTGGTCTTGCATGTTGCAGTGCCAACACATAATCCTGTGTTTTAGTGCAGTGGTGGCGAGAGGACTCCTCCTCCGTGCATTGTCCCTTTTAAATAAGAAAGTGTTGCTTTTGATGTCAAGTACCAAGGTGATGAAATCCCTAAATACACCAGTTAACAATACAGTTCTCCATCCCTTTGCTGTGTCATGCTGATTGCACAGCTCATGCTGATGTACTGCAAGAACCCATTCACAATGTTTCCCTTCAGATTTGTTTGGCTGTGATGTGCTGAGAGCTAGCCACACACAGACGTAACAATTTAGACTGGTGTGTAAGACCTTTATGACCCTCTGCTATTTATTTTGTGGCCCTTAGGCCCCAACAGGCAGCAGTGGGAGTGTAAGCATTAATTTTTAATTTGGGTTGCAATGGTAGCGGTCTCCAAAAACCACCTTGTAACATATTCACAATCTCTTATTGTCTTCTGCAGCATTCCTCCAGTCTTCAACCAATTGGAAGTTTTTGACCATTTCTTGCAATACATTTGCAGTCTCTGAAGTCCTCTGTAGCCTACTGGTTGTTACATGTACCCCCCTCAGTGAAGTCAGGGTTCACACTTGTAGCCTCCACACTGACAAACCCTGATCTAGCTACACTATGAACAGTTTTTATATGTTTAGAAAAAGATTGATCGTCTTTTCTGAAATTGTTGTTTTATTTACACATGTTTAGATATAAACAGTGCTTAATCAAAGGTTTATTCTTTTATAACCAAGGTTCGCATATTAAAGATGCATAAAAGCTTACCTCTGCACTTTGCGTTGTTGAACATATAACAAAAGGCAGTATAATTACACGTTAAATGACATGCTAGATAAAGATGTTAGACAGGCTTATTGTGTGTTCTGGATTTCTTCTCCCTCTCAGGCTGTTTGTGCAGAGGTTTATGGAGAAAAGCTCTATTCTATGTTATGAGTGGGCATACAACAGAAAATCTCATATACATTTATTGGCCCTGTTACCTTCAGTGTAAATCTCAGATTACATGGATTACACTGTGCCTTTCTTTGCTCCTGAAAATGTAGTCCATAAGCAATAATAACACAAAAGGTCCTTCAAATGATGATTCTGTTTTCTGTTTCAGCTTCTGAATGTTTGTGATGAGCAGACATTTACACATATCAGAAAAGGTTCTAGCTAGTCGCCTTCCAGCTTTTATCAAACTTTACACTATTTCTTTCTGTTCTTTTGGTCTCCAGGGTTCAAATGTTTGGGGTTTGTTTTAGTATTTGATTTCCATGTTCAATCCATATACATACCATCATACATTTATCCTTTGGACAGCAACCAAAGCGAGAGTACGGTTCTGTCTTTATGTAGGCACACATATGCCCACACTCACCCTTTCTCTCCTTGATTGGATAGCAGTGGTACAAACTATGCATAAAGCAGACTTTCACCTTCATTTTGCCAATTCTCTAATTTTATATATCACGCCCTCCTATGTTTAATACCTTTTCTAAGCTTCCCTCTCTCTACTTATGGGTGAGCATGACATCGCTGGTACTGTCCGCTGCTCATAGACTATTGGGATATGAACATAATATATCCCAAAAGTCTTCAGGTAACTTTGAGAGTGCTAAGTGCAAATCAGCAGGATTGATGGTGCCTGTGCATGCAGTTCTGTAGTCAGGGAATTATATTGCCATTGCAACAGCAAAGTGTAAACAATGATTCCGTGGGTAGAGTGTACATGCATGAGATTGATGGCGCATATACACGCAGCACTCTATCTGTGGGACCATAATATTTATACATTGTCAATACTATAGTAACATATAGTAATCCCTGGCTATAGAGCACCAAGTGCCAGGAACGGGACCTTCCAGCGCATCGTTGTGGGGGTGGAAAAGAATACCCGGACCACTTCACATCCTATGCTGCACAGTATGTTGTATGCTCTTGCTACACTACATACACAGTGCTATCAATGCCAACTCCAGAGTGCCAAACTTGATACATTGCTCTGTAAGTAACGTACTGTGTGCTGCCACATGCCATGGGCTGAACTGCACATTACATTTTCTGAATTTCCACATGCCATACTATATATTGTACATTTCAAACAATTTCACTTTTGCATGATAAAACAGACCATTCCACTATGTAAACTTTACTGTATGTGTTTCATTCTACTTATTGTCCATGATTCATAAATGTTTTGAGACTTTAGAACACCACCCTAAATGAAAAGGCACAATTTGTTTTAATATCTTTTTCAATCCTCATAATAATACCCTTTAAGCGCAAACAATTAGCATCACCTTTTTTTAAGCACCTAAAATGCACAATCAGTATTTTTCTAGTTTTGTCTATTATACATTCTTCCGCGAAGTATAGTCATTAGAATTAGAGAACCGCTTATAAAGCAAATACCAGAACAAGCTATAGATAAAACAGATATAAGTTTCCACCCACACATTTTGTAAGTTGTTACGATTTCTTAGGGTAAATAGCACTGTGTATTCACTTAGATTTAATCCCCATATACATGGTCAGAATATCGTGTGAAAAATGCCGCTTTTAAAGCAATCATACAATAATCTGATCATTCGTACACAGCAATCATCCGAAAAAAATAGAAGGGACAAGCACAGAAAATTTTTTGTATAACCAGTACAGTAGTCATCCAAAAATACAATACAAATACATTTACATTTTTCAGAATTTTTACTTTGTCCTTAAAGAATTTTACGTAACTTTAGTAATCTCTTAACTTTTTATATGAGATTTGCATGCAAAGAAAACACAGTGGAGGAGGATCCCGGCTGAGACATTTTCTTCTGACAGTGAGGAATCTCTGCTGTCAGAAAAAAACTGATCAGCAGCTGCAGCCACTGATCGAGAAATATTTTCCAACAAGCCTCTTCAACAACTCAATTGATTTCTGTTAAGAGAGAGTGGCCACACATGACTCCGTAAAGGGAAATCTGAAAGCTATGATTCATCACGAACCTCTACAGAGGGGAGCTACGATCATAGAAAGACCTTGAGAGACAGGGTAAATCCTGTTCTAATTGCAGTAACATTTGTTTAGGTCTAATCTTTTCAGATCAGCAAGTGAGTCGAATGGAGAAGCTGGCTGGGTTAGTAGAAGAACTGGAGGCAGATGAATGGAGATACACACCCATAGAGCAGCTCCTGGGCTTCACCCCATCTTCAGGAGGAAAGTGACTGACCATATGATGGAACTACTGAAACACTGAAGGGTGACAACTAAAACTAAGACTTCTTTTGGAAAGGGTTGGAAGAAAATGTTTATTCTATGCTGCTTTGACAAAGAGCTGTAGATGATAACATTTTTCTGTAGGCAAAGTGTCTTTCCAGTCCTTTTGAAAACTTTAGAACCATTGAGTTGTATTTGGCCAGTCCCACTTAACACAGTAGTAGAACTGAGTATTTGGTTCTGTAATAGAATGAGCACATCCACAATTCACTTGTATGTCATCATTTTACTAAGACCAGCCAGGATAAAGAATAGATGATTTATGTATTTCCATATTTGACATCCACGATGGAGATTTGACCAGACTTTGAATTTGGGTGCCATCTAATTTGGCAGAAGTTTTTGACCGTGTCATAGTTTCATGTGGGTACTTTAACTTTTATGTATTGTTTATTCCTGCTAGTTTATATATTTTGTCCTTTTTGTTTTATTGCATATTGTTTTTTATAAAATAAAGTTTAATGCTATGAAAATTGGAGTGTGTTTTCCTATAGACACTGGTTATAATTATCCCTTCTAAAGATTACCGTCACACAGTAACTGAAAACCTATAATTATATACAGTCAGGTCCATAAATATTGGGACATTGACACAATTCTAACATTTTTGGCTCTATACACCACCACAATGGATTTGAAATGAAACGAACAAGATGTGCTTTAACTGCAGACTGTCAGCTTTAATTTGAGGGTATTTACATCCCAATCAGGTGAACGGTGTAGGAATTACAACAGTTTGCATATGTGCCTCCCACTTGTTAAGGGACCAAAAGTAATGGGACAGAATAATAATCATAAATCAAACTTTCACTTTTTAATACTTGGTTGCAAATTTATTGCAGTCAATTACAGCCTGAAGTCTGGAACGCATAGACATCACCAGATGCTGGCTGTCATCCCTCGTGAGGCTCTGCCAGGCCTCTACTGCAACTGTCTTCAGTTCCTGCTTGTTCTTGGGGCATTTTCCCTTCAGTTTTGTCTTCCGCAAGTGAAATGCATTCTCAATCGGATTCAGGTCAGGTGATTGACTTGGCCATTGCACAACATTCCACTTCTTCCCCTTAAAAAACTCTTTGGTTGCTTTTGCAGTATGCTTTGGGTCATTGTCCATCTGCACTGTGAAGCGGCGTCCAATGAGTTCTGAAGCATTTGGCTGAATATGAGCAGATAATATTGCCCAAAACACTTCAGAATTCATCCTGCTGCTTTTGTCAGCAGTCACATCATCAATAAATACAAGAAAACCAGTTCCATTGGCAGCCATACATGCCCACGCCATGACACTACCACCACCATGCTTCACTGATGAGGTGGTATGCTTAGGATCATGAGCAGTTCCTTTCCTTCTCCATACTCTTCTCTTCCCATCACTCTGGTACAAGTTGATCTTGGTCTCATCTGTCCATAGGATGTTGTTCCAGAACTGTGAAGGCTTTTTTAGATGTCATTTGGCAAACTCTAATCTGGCCTTCCTGTTTATGAGGCTCACCAATGGTTTACATCTTGTGGTGAACCCTCTGTATTCACTCTGGTGAAGTCTTCTCTTGATTGTTGACTTTGACACACATACACCTACCTCCTGGAGAGTGTTCTTGATCTGGCCAACTGTTGTGAAGGGTGTTTTCTTCACCAGGGAAAGAATTCTTCAGTCATCCACCACAGTTGTTTTCCGTGGTCTTCCGGGTCTTTTGGTGTTGCTGAGCTCACCGGTGCGTTCCTTCTTTTTAAGAATGTTCCAAACAGTTGTTTTGGCCACGCCTAATGTTTTTGCTATCTCTCTGATTGGTTTGTTTTGTTTTTTCAGCCTAATGATGGCTTGCTTCACTGATAGTGACAGCTCTTTGGATCTCATCTTGAGAGTTGACAACAACAGATTCCAAATGCAAATAGCACACTTGCAATGAACTCTGGACCTTTTATCTGCTCATTGTAATTGGGATAATGAGGGAATAACACACACACAGACACCTGGCCATGGAACAGCTGAAAAGCCAATTGTCCCATTACTTTTGGTCCCTAAACAAGTGGGAGGCACATATGCAAACTGTTGTAATTCCTACACCGTTCACCTGATTTGGATGTAAATACCCTCAAATTAAAGCTGACAGTCTGCAGTTAAAGCACATCTTGTTCATTTCATTTCAAATCCATTGTGGTGGTGTATAGAGCCAAAAATTTTAGAATTGTGTCGATGTCCCAATATTTATGGACCTGACTGTATAATATAACCTGTATCTGTGATCTTGGGGGATGTTTGGCTCTCCTGGTGGATGCGTTTTTGAGTCCACTTCAGTAAAAACTATTTTTAAAGACCCAATTTATTAAAAAGGAAAAAAAAAAGCGAAAGCCCAATACCAACAGGTTGCCTACACAGGGGTTTCAGCTTCACCGAAAAACAGTATTAAAAAAATGCAGAGCCACATGGCTCTTCAATGCGCAGCAACACTGCTCGCTCTAGTCTCCCAGACCATGGACTCCTCAAACTCATCCAGTCTGTACATGCAGTACCTTACTGCTCAGGTCCCACTGCATAGGGTTCTTCCAGCACTCTGGGCTCTCCCACTTCTCTGGAACACAGGACTCCCTCCAGCCCCTTCTGTGAACACGATAATATCCTCCGCTTTCTTTGCCTCTACAGACCTGCGTAGCTATCCTGACTTTCCCAGTCCTTTGGGCAAGATGTTCACCCAACATACAGTCTTGTCTCCCGAGAATGTCACCCCTCCTGGCTGGAGCACACCACTATTTTCACACAACTGCCCCAAACTATGCTCAGATCTGGCTTATATTAATCCTGCACACCTGTGCCCTCACACAGGATTGAAGCCCACCCAAAGCAGCTTGGAAACTTCAAGCTTCAGGTCCTGATATGGAACCACCAAATCCAAAGAAAACATGGAGCACAGTTTCTCCATTCACAATAAATATGACCGAGTTTCTCAAACTGCACCTTTGAGAATCCTGTGTCCTTTTCATACCAATTTTGTAAACTCACACCATGGCAGGGACTTTTACTGTCACAGAAATCTATATCTGAGATGTATATAGCCAGCTTGGTGACTTGGCTTCTCGCTAATGTTGTTGAGCAAAACCGGTCACCTCCCAGCCACCAGCCTGAAATAGGACAGTGATGGTGCAGCAGCAGGCTGATGATGTCATACCTCTTCTGTCTGCTCCGTTCAGCATGTTTCTTGTCTATGCATGTGAATGCAAGACTGAACGCAAGTCAAGATCAGATAATCTGGTATTTACGCAAGTTGTATTTTAAAAAAATAAATCGCTGCATTCATTGTTTTTTATGTTTGTTTTTATTCTCTATATACATCTGCCTTGAGTTTAGCTTTGCATTTTAGATGATCTAGTATGTAAAATAACGTATACCTGGCACTTTAAAAGTGCCTTAAGCCGGTTACAACCATGAAAATGCAGACAAAGACCTCCAGATGGTTACATAATCACCCCAGGTGCCCTGAATCAGACCTGAACACTGGGTTAGTCTGGAGATGGCTGCACCTCCTATATTGGCCCATCACAGTGAGTATGTGGCCCCTCTGATAATTAGGAGAAGGTAGGACCAAAGATTCTAGGATGTTCATAGATATTTTTTAAGGCATTTGCAAGCATCTCTCACTGCCTAGATTTTAGTTTTAGGCCTTCTTCACACAGACGTACTTAAGCTTATTCCCAGAGACGGAACACACGCCACTACGCATACATGATCCCGCCACAGCCAACTTGGATATTGAAATACAGGTTGTTTATATGATATGAAGTGCCTGATTTTCATCTTTTCATTGTAAGTGCATTTCCCACATTAAATTGGTGTTTTAATCAGAATTACACTAAAGAGAGCCTGTCTTTTTCTTTTTCATGATACTATGTCCAGCTGAGTATATATGCACAGTGATCTGATATAACACAGCAGTACCATCGTTTGACATGTGGTTTTGAGGAAAGTTGGATATCTTGGATTGATACACAAATGCTAGTTGACCACATTTAATTGGAGGTCATATGATTCTGATAAGCCTCCCTTTGTTGTACACCGAGGTGCTGTTTTGCTCATCATTAAGTTTTGGTAGCATTTGATATCCACATCTGTCATTTCCCTCATAATTGAAGAACCACTGAATTCACAGTTTTTGGCTTCACATTTGGATTGCTTTATTTTTTCAATTTGTGGTGACACATAAGACTTTGATATTTGTGCATTGCACTATTGTATTGCACATACATTTTAATTTATTTTAGCGCTGCACTATTGCTTTGTGATGTTTATTATACTATGTATTATCATGGTATCATGCTAGCTGCTATGTTTTTTGACATCCAGCAGTCTTAGCACAGTTTTTTTTCATTCTCACTTATTTCCAACTTTACTGTGTAACTGTAAACTATTTCATGTATTGGACTTGCCAAAGTGTACCCACTTGTTGAATGACAAACATAAGAAATCATTTAAAAAAAAAAAAAAAAAAGTATGTGGTCAAGGTGGTATTAAGTCTCTGTTCACAACTGAGCATTTTTGCACGTGTTTTTGCGCTTAAACTTATACATAACATCACTCAGCAATAGGAATCCCATTCTTTTCAATCCAGGCTCTTCACGCAAAGCTTGAAAATATACATGAGCTTTATTTTGAAGCTGTGTCACATTTTTGACTCCATGGACTTCAGTGGAATTGTCTTACACCTAAAGAACTGTTTTCCTCAGCACTCATCCTCCTCTCCTCCCACCCAAGAGCTTGCATGCATGTGCTTGCAAGACAGTGAAATAAAACGGCATATACGTGTGCAAAAACGCTGAACAGAAGCCCATATAGGTGCTTACTAGGTGTGAATGCAGGCCTCATGTTGGTCAGGCAATGCATATTTGTCATATATAACGTAAGGAAGTCTGAAAAATTCAAGTTTTTCTTTATGAGCTATATTTTATTGTTGCCATATGA